AAAATTCGCGTCGAAATCCACGCAATAAATTCGACAAAACAAATATATTCATAATATTGTAAATTATTAATTAACCAATTACAATTAAAAAAAATTAAAAACGACGACGAGCGTCGCACGTATCATTCCTCGACAACAAGTGACAAAATCCAGAAAACTCGAGGAAATGAAAACTCGAGTCTCGGGAACAATTAGAACAATTAGAGAATACAATTTTCTTTCCGAATGAATCCGTTCGATGAAGGGAGAGGAGTTGGAGGGGGAAGGGGGAGGGGGGGGGGGGGGGGAGCTTGTTGGTGCTTATAGTGGAGCTTACCCTCACGCCGAATGCGGCGATCTTCAGTATGCACTCGACGGTGAACATCCCCGTGAAGCACATGTTCATGTACTTCAGCGTGTTCTTGTAAGCGTCGCTTTGCCGATGGAACTGCAATGCATGACACTGACAAACACACGGGCCGAGAGAGAAACGGGACAAAACGGGCGTCAACAAGCCTATCAATTTCCCGCGTGTATACACGGCGGAAGTTCACGCTCCCGCCGATTCCTTCCCCTCCCCCATCTCCTCTCCTCTCCACTCTCTTTCCTCTCCCCGAGCGAGGGGAAAAAGAGAGCGAGAATCAAGGAGAGGGGGGAAAGGCTGTTGTTCATCGGGCGAACCGTCCATCATCGACGCGTTTTTCTGCAATGCAATTTGCTTCCTTTTTTTTTTTTTTTTTTTTTTNNNNTTTTTTTTTTTTTTTTTTTTAGGATGATTAAATTATATAATATGATTATATATATATGATTATATAATATAATAAATTAGGGATAAATAATAATATAATAAATAATATATAAATTAGGGATTCAGAGAAGCAAGTTTAATATTTGTAAATCGTTGCTGCAAAGTCGATGATTTTATTAATCGTGTGATAAGTAAATCGATTACGGAGATCAGAGAGGTAAAAGTTGATTTATTTTTTTTTTTTGTGGTTAATTTTTTGGAGAAAAATTTATAAACCGCATCATATAAATCGAATACACAAATCTCGATTTACTTTTTCACGATTTCTCGAATCAACATTTTGTAATTATAATTGCCACGAGGTTGAAGAAAAATTGTTCGATCGTTCAAAGAAATCGACTTGTTCCAAGTTTAGCTCGTCGATAAACTTACTACCTTCTCGCTTAGGATAATTTAGGGATGGCGTATCGATGGACGGTTCCCTCGATATGACACACAATATTACAAATATTTATGTATATATATATATATATTTTTTATATTAAAAACTGTGTAAAATAGAGTGCGAAATCTGTAAGTTACATGTGTATACGTGTGTATATGTACACACGTATACACGTGTAAGTGAGAAACTTTCCAGTCGACAGAAAAAAAAAAAAAAAGGGAGACATATGGGTGTATAATATTAGCGTTAACCTAAATAGTACGTGTATCTGTACGATCGTACAGGGTGACGTTAAAGAGATTTCCTTTTTTTTTTTATATCAGCAAAGTGAGGACAATTTTAGACTGTATACTTGTATATCGAGTGTGGGGTTGTTGGTGTGTGCACACGTTTATACTGGTACAAGCTGAATGCCCTTCTATAATGGGGGTAACACCGAAAAATTGAATTTTTCCATTTCTTTTTGGCTGTGCATTTAATTTTTAATTTTTTACTTTGATTTATATGCATGATTCGTATTTTTATAATACTAGTAATATTAATTACTATCAATTTGGTATCCAAAAAAAAAAAAATTAATTGTAAGATATTTAAATATCTGCTTAAAAAAAACAAGTTATAAAAGAAAAACAAAAAATTGGGCATAAAGATTCCACAATTTTTACAATTTACAAGTTAGAAATACTTCACGGATGGAATATAAATCATGCACATGGAAATCAAATCAAATCATTGATTTGGAATCGATTCTTCTAAATAAATACCCCTTTACAACTCTACCTATGCCCAAATAGATAGACATAAACAGGAACGATGATTGAATCGCGTGCAACGACGCGACGATTAAGGGGGGACGAACAAAAAAAATCTGTCTTCTTCGCGATCAAATTGGGGAAAAATTCCCCAATGAATTACCACCCCTCGATCGTTCGCGTCGGGATCGGTTTCTGGAGAGAGAGAGAGAGAGAAAGAGAGAGAGAGAGAGAGAGAGATGACGTTTGGAAGAGAGTCAGAGAGTGAGAAATCGGAGGAGAAGCGAATGTTTGGAAGAGAGTCAGAGAGTGAGAAATCGGAGGAGAAGCGAATCTTAATGGCGAACGAAAAAGAAAAAGAAACGAATCGAGAAAGAAAGAAAGAAAGAAAGAAAAAAAAGAATCATCTAGAACGAGTTAAAGATCGAAAGAAGAAGAAGAAAAAAAAAATGAGAGGAAATACGTGAGGTAATGAGAGGGAAGATGGAGAATTGTTAAGATAAAAATCTCTCCCCGCTCGAGGTACTGTAAAAACTGTTTTCTTTTTTTCTTTTTTTTTTCTTTTTCGTCAAGTTTCGAGGGGAGGAAGGAATCAAAAATCGTGCGGGCGCCCCGTGCAAGAAACCGTGTCATTGGTAAAAAAAAAAAAAAAAACACACACACACACATTCAGTATGGATGTAGTCCTGGGTGTTGTTTATCTCGACGAACAAATTCGGTCGAGTTTGGCTTTTCGATTTTGTTGCGAGCAGCCAGCATGCGACACGCAGATTTTGCACGCGTATGGACGAACAACGCGTGTGACATCCTCGTGTGTGCGAAAATACGTGCTGTGAATACATGTCAGGAACAGTTACGTGCCTTTGGAACAATGAGAGATCGAGAGATCGTCCTTCCATTTCCATCCTTCCGTCCATCGTCGAAATCATTGCGTCGAATATTTTCGACCACGAACGAAGAATCGATCGAATTCTTTCATGTATTTATAAGAAAGAGAAATGAATAATCATTTTGCTTACTTTTCAATTTTTAAAAAAAGAAAAATCGCATTGTTCGATCGTTGCGAACGACGATCTCGTATCTCTTCCCTTCTCAACATTTATAATATCGTGTGCCGCTCGTGTGTATTATCGCTTTTCATTCACAGAACCATGTGCAGCTGTACGGTGTGCGCGTGAACGACCACGTCCGCTCATTACGTTGCTGGTCGGCGTCGCCAGGCGGCGTGTATTTCGAAAAAACGAAAAAATAGAAAAAGGAAAACGAGCGATGCTGTGTATACGTGTGTACACCGATCGAACTGCCGTGGTTGTTTCGACCCGGTTAACGGAGTGTATTCACATCCAGGATTTCGTGTCCAGAATCGACTAACCGAGTCGAGAAGCGTTAGCTAATAACGTGTCACGTGCGTTCTTTTTTTAAAAAAAAAAAGAAACAAAGAAAGAAAGAAAAGAGATCTACGATTGCGTTGCTCGAGCGTTGCAAGCCTTAAAAGAAAAAAAAAAAAAAAAAAAAGAAGAGAATTTTCAGTCCAGATCAATTCTAAAAAAAAGCGTATCCCTTTGCTTGAAAACATTCTCCACCAACTCTTTTTGCATCTGCTAATCACTTTTTCTAATTAATGCAAGCGAGAATAGAATAGATAGGTTGGAGAAGGAGTAGAAGAAGGAGGAGGAGGAATCGAGAAAAATGATATATGGAAGATGAGAGAGAGAGAGAGAGAGAGAGAGAGGAGAACAGACTGTGCGCTTCAAAGGTACAAAACAGGATTTTCGAGAAGAAGAATATTCCTTTCTTTCCATCCTCGTTGCTTTCGTTCCCTTTCCAATCAAAAGCCAATTGCTCGTGCAACGCTTCGAACCCCGCCACCAGTTCAAACATGGGCTTGTACGAGTCGAACGCACGTCGTGTGTATATGTGTGGGTGTGTGTGTGTGGAAGGGGGGGAGCGAGGAAAGGATATTCACCGATATTCGATATATATGCATATCGGTTTTTCCACGCATCTTCGAGTGGTATATAATGTACTATGTACTATCAAGACGAGGACACAGCAGCGGGCATGCAATAAGAAAGAGGGGGAAGAGAGAGAACGACAGAGAAGGAGGAAAAAGGAGAACAATATATCGAACGGAACGAAAGTCGAAAAATTAAAAAAGAAAAGAAAAGAAAAGAAAGAAGAAGCGAAACGGAAAAATACCGGCTTTTGGGGAGGGGTAGAAGAAAAAATAACGAGAGCATGGAAGGAAAATATGTTCGAGACAAACGCGAGAGACAGATGTTGGTGTGTTATAGAACAGAGCGCGAGTGCCATCACGTATACAGGGTGTCTTATCTTATTTGGATTTATCGATTTTGTTGTTAATGTTATTATTTATTATTATATCACGTCGTAAGCGAAAAATGTTTCGTTGCGAAACTTGAATTGGTCGTATAATATCAATCAAACTTTATATTCTCTAAAATAAAAAATTTAATTTTTAATTGATTTTATAAAATTTATTGTATGAGAAACAAGGAATGCAAAAATCTGACTGGAATTTAGAGTTGTTGACGAAAGAATTAGCATCATCTCTTGTAATCATTCAATTTTTATTTGAAATATTTGTAATGACACTTAAAAAATCAAGATGTCAAAATCAATTGAAATATATACATTCGAGTTTTAATATTGGATTGGATCCTTTACGATTACAAAAGAGTTCGGTGTATTTGAAATTTCACCTACTTTCTATAAAAGAATCCAATCTGTTTCAGCCGATTCCAAATTCAATGAACGAGTGAAAAAGAAAAATACAGAAAGAGAAAGAGAGATAGAGAGAGAGAGAGAGAGAAAAGAGGCGCCGGAAGATGGCACTCGCGCATGCCCGATATGGAGATAGAAAAAGTGTCTCGATTCTGAAACGAAAGTGGGAAGGGAGAGCAAAGTGGAATAAAAAAGCAATTCGAGACACGTGAATCAACGACTGTTGAACTGAAATCTGCTTCGAACGGAGTCGAAGCGACGAGGAAAAGAAGAGACAGATACAGAGACAGAGAGAAGAGAGAAAAGGAGGAAGGAAATTTTGGTTCGACAGGAAGAGAGAAAGAGACAGAGAGAGAGATAGAAAGAGAGACACAAGAGTATTGAACACAGCTGTGTACACGTATCAATGGATACAAGGATGACAATTATACAGAGAACAATAAATAAATTGACAGGCAAGAACAACAATGTCCTCGTACAGATATAACGTTACATCTTACAGCTCGCTTCTCCGTTGTGCACACGTTGTTTCTCGACAACGTGACACGCGATTAACATTCATTCTCACGCGATTCATCTTTGAGAATCGGTGCTTTTCTTTTTCTTTTTCTTTTCGATTGGTTAAAGTTGCCAAAAGCGAGAGTGTGACGAGATTCGAGGGAGGGGGGGGAGGAGAGGAAGAAGGAAATTCACTTTTTTTTTTTTTTTTTTTTTTTTTTTCTCAAAATGTCGACAAAGAGGATGCTCAGGTAGACAAGTTTCCTTCCCTGGTGCTCTTCTCCATCTTGGCGTTAACATGGCGCGGTCACAAGAGAATTCGTCACTTTTTCCTCGAGATGCGATTCTCATCTTGAGGAGAAAGAGGGGGGAGATTTCTTGGGGGGAAAAGGGAGAGATTCATTGACGCTTACCTTCATCATGAGCAGTACTGTGTTTAATACGATGAGACCCATGATAAAATATTCGAAAGGCGTCGATACCACTATTCTCCAGATTTTGTACTTTACGCTGTTCCGCTCTTTCGGCATGTACCTTTCCAAAGGGCGAGCTTGTATCGTGAAGTCTATGCAAGATTTCTGAAACGAACGTAGAATGGTTAATCGTGATTTTAGTCTATCGTCACATTACTTACATTCGTTTCTACACCTACTGATTTTTTTGTTTAGTACACGATGAATATTATTGGGTCATTCTATAAATAAGCTCAATTTATCGTATCGTAGAAAAATTCAATTGGGAATATTTACAGTAATTAAACAAAGAATTTAATTAACGTGTTATTGATTAAACAAAGAATTTTATTAATGCATTAATAAATAAATCACCATAGCAAATTTTGTTATGATAACGTTTGAATAAAAATAATAAAACGACAAAGAGAAAGGTAAAAAGTTTAATCAAATATTTCTTATTAAACATCAGCAATGAGAAATTTAAATATTAACAGATATTCTACAACAAAATTCGAAGCACGCTAAGAACATGTATCTTTATTATTTAATATTTTTAGAGAATAGTTTGTGAGAATAATTTGATCATTAAAACAAATTTTTTCAAATTTGAAAAGTTGAATTGTATAAAATTCACAGAATGACCTAATAAAAATCGAACCTGACCAACCTGATTTTTGTCGATTTCGCCGTCTTGCAATTCAGCCTCTCCCTGCTCCTGGAAAGTGATGATAATCAAGGCCACGAAGATGTTGACGAAGAAGAATGGAAATACGATGAAGTAGACGATGTAGAAAATGGACATCTCTATACGAAAATTCTGTATGGGGCCCTTGTCCTCGTACGTGGCCGCCATAGAATTCTGCAGGATTTGGGGCCAACCCTCGCCAGTCTGTACCGCGAACAGCGTAAGCATGGCGGCCATCACGTTGTCGTAGTGAAAAAACTGCGACTGCCATTCACGTTTCTTTGGCTCTGGCAACAGGGCGCCGTCTTCGAAAACGAAATACTGACCCCTGCACAAGACACCAGACGAAGGAACGAACGTTAAAAAACGCAAAAAAAAAAAAAAAAAAAAAAAAAAAAAAAAAACATACCCAAAATCCAAATTAGATTTAAAAAAAAAATACATACCTACCGCGTTTCCACGGAATCAAATTTTCTTTTCTAAGGGGGAAAAAAATACAAGATACTCACTGGCAATCCTGTTGCGTATATTTGCTCTCGTCGCTGCAGTAGAAGAACTTGCCGTTGAACAGCTGCACCGCGATCACAGCGAATATGAATTGGAACAATATGTACACTATGAGAATGTTAATGACATTTTTAAGACTGTTCACCACGCAGTCGAAGACCGCCTTAAGCTTCGGCACCCTCTTGATCGTCTTTAACGGCCTGAGCACGCGGAGCACCCTCAACGACTTGATCGTGGAGAGATTTTGCCCGGCCGAGCTGCCCGTCATGTCGAAGGCGAACGAAACAGCGGCGCATATCACCACAACCGCGTCCATAATGTTCCAGAACTCGCGCAGATACGAGCCCGGATGAAGTATGATACCGAGATCGATTATCTTCAGTATCATCTCGACGGTGAAGACACCTGTGAACGCGTAATCGAAGTAATTGAGAACTTCGTTCCTCGGCGAGTCCTCCCATACGGGATCTTCGGCGGCCAACGCGATACTCGACAGCGATATCACCACCATTATGAAGAAGTCGAAGTACCTCAGGTTGACGACCCAATGGGCGGCTCTTCTTACTCTGCGATCAGGAAATGTTGTTTTATTAGTGTTTCATTTTTTTTTTTTTTTTTTTTTAGGGCAATTCTTGGAAAGACGAACCACTTTTCCTTTTTTTTTTTTAAAAGATTATACTCGAGATGGGAATTTTATTACATGGATGTAGATATAAAATGAATGAATCCTCATAGAGAGAAATATTCCAAGATTTATTGCTGATTTATTTTCTTCGCCTTCTAGTTTTTTTATATTATATTTATATAAACATTTATATAAAACTATAAAAATTATATTTATAAAAATATTTATATAAATATAATGAACATATTATCTGACATTCGATGCCTCTGTATTTTGTACAAACTTAGAAAGCCTCTCCTCTTACAAAGTTTTATCCAAGAGCAATTTAATTACACAAAAAAAACTATTTCATCACGAAATAGGGAATTAAATTAAAATTGGAACAAAAAAGCAATTGTTCAAAACTCGTTCAAGTGGCCCATTATTCCTTAGGATTTATGTTACAACAAGGAACAACTTACGGATTCGTAGGGGACAGTATAAACATGGAGGAGTATGGCAGCATTGGTTTTGGTCCCGTGTCATCGTCTTCATCCTGCTTTTTCTCTTCTTCGGATGACTGTTTTCCACCTTTACCGTCTTTGCTGAAATTCGGCGACAATTTACATTCCAAATATTTATATACATATATTTCTTTTACAGTGTTAATTCGAAAGGAAGGATGATGATGATGAAACTTACAAATTCTGGTTCGGACTCGGAGGGCAGATTTCTACCTTTGGCGCGCCACCGTCTTTTGGATTCTGCAGGGATTGGATCTCTTTCTCGATCTCCTGCGCCTGCTTCTGCTTGTCCTCCTCTTCCTCCTCGTTCTCGGCGGCGCTCAGCTCTTGTGCGTTTGCCAGATTGTCGACGGCGATAGCCAAGAACACGTTCAGCAGCGTGTAGTTGCCGAACAGCACCAGCACGATGAAGTAGAGCGAGTAGATCATGCCCTTCTTGTGACCACCTTGCGATTCTATACCCTGGTACATCACTTCGTTCCAATCTTCTCCGGTCAGGATCTAGCCAATCATATATATATATATTTGATTAATAACAACATGACATTTTATTTAATTAATGTGGACACTTACTGTGGTCTGATTAATTATGTAGAATGTGATAAATGTGTGATGAAATCGAAACGAAATTATTTGCAAAGGAAAAAAATTGCTTGAAATTAATCTTGAGTTGAGTTATTTTTTTGAAATATTTTGTTATTCGAAATATTCGAGCGAGTATATCGTAGCTCGAAGGAAAGACCATGCTTCGTGTTCTCTTTCCTTTCAATTAATTATGTCGGTTTTTTTTTTTTTTATTAGAAGCAATATTTTTCTTTTTTGAAAAACTAACGTTTCTTGAAATTTTATCATTCTCTTTCAGCGTTTATCCTCGTTAGGATGAAATAAATTGGATTATTTCCAGATATCTAGGAAATTTATATATGAGAAAATTAATATTTTTAATTTTACTTATAAAAGGTGGAGAGAAATTTTAAATATTAAAATACACGAGATGGGAGAAATTTTTAGACAGAATATTTCAAGTAAGAAGAATAATTTTCTATTGAAAAACTTGTGATTTATCTTCTGCATTTAGGAAAAGTTAGTTTCTGTCAAATGAATTTTTAAGATATTCATAAAGCATTATAAATAATATTGTAATAATTCTTTAATTTATTTCTACATTTTTTTCACATAAAATTATTCTTATTGAAATAGAGGATTATAAAATGAACAAATATGAAGGTTCAAAACGTTGCTTGCAGTATCTTAAACATTTTTTTCACAAAGATCAGATTTTTACATGTTTGAATATCACACATTCTTATAGAAGATTTTGCTTCATTATTAATTTCAACTACTTGATAGATACCTTATATTATACTAATTGTTAAAATTTTAATTAAAAATTAAGGAAAACAAGTAAAATTTATTTTAAAAAAAATTGCATGTAGTGTAAATTTCAATATTTACAAATTTCTGTACACATGCAAGGTGCCATTACGTATTATACCTTGATTCTCAAATTATTTTTAAAAACAAATTTATCTTCGTTCTTCGTGTTATCAAAATGAATTCGAGCAATAAAATTATCTTTCTTCACAACTCTGATCAATATCCATCCCCCTCTAATCTTCCAATTTCAATCACACAAATGCAAATATATAACACACTCCTAACCTAACAAAATTACAAAGGATTCACACAATAAAATGTTCTTATAATACACTTTTTCCACTTTTTATTTCCATCCATTTTATCTCTCCTCAAAATCAATCTCTTGCAACGACGTTTCACGAATATTCTTATTTATCCCACTCTGAGTAAGCAAAAGATTAATCTTGGAGTCTACTTACTTGGAAGACAGTGAGCAGCGCGATGGGAAAGGTGTTGAAGTTGGTGGGCGGCGTGCCTGAATCGAAGTTGAATTGGCCGCCGAACAGCTGCATACCGAGCAGCGCGAATATGAGAATGAAGAGGAAGAGCAGGAAGAGCAGGGAGATGATGCTACGCATCGAGCTGAGCAGCGATATTACGAGGTTTCTCAGGCTCTTCCAGTATTTGGTGACCTTAAAAATTCGCAGGAGTCTAAGGGCACGTAGGACGGAGAGGCCGAAAGAGCCGGACTTCACCTCGGACCAGATCACTTCGAAGATCGATCCCGAGATGACCACGCAGTCGAAACGATTGAAGCTCGAGTCGAAGTATGTGCGAGGGCCGAGCGCGTACACCTTGATGAACATCTCCAACATGAACAGAGCCAGGAACACGAACTCTGCGAAGTCTGTCGGAGACAAGTATAATTTTGATAGTAGAGTTAATAAAGTTGATTGCTTTCCTTTTCCTTTTCCTTCTTTTCGAGAATTTAATTCGATCCATTTTTGAAGAACAAATTTAATAATAAATGGTATAAGAAATGAAGAAAGTATGATGAGAAATTAATCGATTAATTTGTAGGATATTACTATTTCCTTCTAAATTCTAAATTGAACTATATGTTGTAAATTTAGAGATACGAAATTGATTCAACAATGGATGGAATCAAATTGAAGAAAATCTAACAAATTGATAATATTTCAAGTATTAATATTTATCAAGGCAAAGTGATTTTCCTACGTTTTTCTCGAGACGAAAAATTACTTATAACCGTGTTTACAATATTTCTTATTCGATCATTTAACGGTTTATTGTTAAAGATATACTCACAGAGGAAATCGGTCAGCCATTGGGGCTGACCGTAATGCTCCACGGCCACGCAGACGGTGTTGAAGAACACGAGAACGATGACGAACCAGTAGAATTTTTGCGATTTCACGGATTTTCGTATCCAGTACCTGAATCTTTTCTCGGCCAGCCAGAACTGCTTGCAAGGTCCCTTTTCTTTCGTCGAGGAGGATCTTGAAAACCCTAGAAAACCAGCAAATCCATCGTTTCAGCCATTATTTCAGACTCGATATTTTCGATACAAGTCGATCGATTCTCTTGCAATTTTTTTCCTCTCCTTTCTCTCTCCCCCTCTCTCTCTCTCTCTCTCTCTAAAGTTATTTCTCCAATGAAATTTATCCGCGTAATCGTGTTATAGGTCGTTACGCGCAAACTATTTCTCGATAATATCGATAATGCGATACGGCAAATTATTTTTCCGGAAGGAACGTTGCATTGGAGAAAGTTTACCGATACGATCCCATTGTACACCATATCAGATACACCGAATCGAAAAACATTCTTCCTCCATTTGCTCTCTTTATTGCAACGATTTTGAGAAAACAGGATACGATTTTGCTTTCTAGATCTTTCTCTCGTTCGTTTATTTGTTTATTTTTTTTTTTTTCCAATTTTTCGATCGAGAAAGTCAATTAAAACATTACATATATAATGTAAGGACAGAGACACATCTATTCTATGAACGTATACTCTAACAAGCGTGTTTCTATCTAGATCTATCTATCTACGAATTTAATCAATATTTCCTTCTATGAGGCCATCTATTTTTGTATAAACACATTTCTCGTTGTACACTACTAAAAAACATTAATTGGTATTCCTCCACTGTTGGACGTACCTAGACCACGTGGATACACATTTTCACCCGAGACATTCGCGAGAAATTCGTGTGGTAATGGTAAATTTTGTATCAAAAAGAAAGGAATTTCCATCATATTTGATATTTGTTTTATTTTTGTAAAACGTTTAATATTTATCTAATGGAAGAATTAAAATAATTGTGTGCAAATACTCTTTGTAATCATTATATCATTTCATTTCAATTATTTCAATTATTTAACTCAACTCAATAATTATTATAATAATCTACCCTATTTTTCCATGAAAGTATAATAAATTTTTCCCTTACCCTCAAAATTTACATCTCTACTTGAAATTAAAATTAACTAAATTAAAAATTTATTTTTTCATTGAATTTCAAAAATCGTCGCGAATGCCCTCGGTTGATCAATAAATATACATAAATATATACACAATCACACCAGCCAACAGAAGCAATTCCTAGAAAAAAGAAGATAAAGTGAATTGGCGGTCGCGATTTTCACCGAAATTGTGTTAAGAATTTCGAAGAATCCGATTTGAGAGATCTGCGATGCACGATGTTTTCTCGTCACTAGATTACAATTCCTCTCTATCGTACACAATTTCCATCTTTATTACGTGTAGATGTACATATATGTATTTCAACTACATGATTATATTGAGTAATCCAAATTCGTAATCATATTAACACTTAGGATCCCATATAGTGGCTCTGACTCTCTTCTAATATTTTACAATGACGTATGAATATATCTTTCACCAATCTGATTCAAACATTTGGAAAAATTTCAAACGATAAAAAAATGGGAAATTCATCAACATCCCCTTTACTTTACAATATCAACTCATCATCGAATATTTAATTTCCAAATCCAAAATATAGAATCCTGAGTGACATAGAACATTTTATTATATTGTCCTGCGTGTAAATATATGCGTGTTGCGAATATTTAATATGCGATAAGATATAATAAACGAAAAAACGAAATGATGTTGGAAAAGAAAAGAAAAGAAAAGAAAAAAAAAAGGGCAACAAAAAGAAAACATATAACGAATAAGAATTTACGGATACAGCCTCGTTGCTCTTTGCATCGAATCGTGACACTGACTGGTTGTAGTTACCTTTCAGTTTTTTCTTAGGCACTGAAACAAGAGGAGCATCTGATAGCGTGTGTTTAGAATGTTCGTCGCCGTGGCCGAGGGGAATTAAATTGTCGGCTCTTTATCCGAAACAGAAATCAGAAGGAAACGTCAGATCGTCCCACGAGCAATTCTCGCTCTTCTACGCAATCACACTCGCCATACGGACGAAGGTAATGCTTACTCGTGGGGCCATCTGACTCTTGGTTTATTAACGTGTCGATCACAATGAACGATGAATATATATATATATATGTCGATGGAAGGCAACGCTTCATCGAAGGGAGAGATCTCCAAGTGAAATGGAAAGCGAGTCAATGTTTCGAGATTTGTTGAGATTTACGAGATAAGATGGTTTTTTTTTTTTTTTTTGATCGATAAGAGAATAATGTAAACGTCGTAAACATCGACTCTTTTCATTCTTCGCTCGCCTGGGTCGAGTCAGTGATTCTCAACCCGTCGGTGATTCATCAATGAGTCACATGTCATATTAATAAATTGTGTCTATTTGTTTGGATAGTATAAAAATCCATAAAAATTGTATAATCTAAGATTTTATCAAACTCGAATTTCGGAGGCCGTACAAAGAAAAAAGGAATTGGAGAATCATGATTTACAAATAATTTATTGTTCTTTACTCGTTGTTCTTTTATAGATTGAAATTTTTTTCTTAGAAGATTTAACTTAATGATGCCAATAGTTATTCGAATGGAGAGTTGTGTAAAGAATATTACAAAAAGGTTGAGAAACACTGGTTTAAATCAATTTTTTTTTGATCTCGAGAGGGATTAATTAAGAAAATCATCGCAAAATCACGCGTAGAGATACAAAGGGTAACGATAAGAGGGAAAAATACAACTCACCGTCATCCTGGTCGTCATCGCCTTCCTCTTCCTCCGTGTCCGTACTTTTGCTCTTGCCGAGCTTCTTCTTCTTCGCCTCGGCTCTTTTTCTTCCTACAAAAGAAATATTCATGAAACACAACTTTCGATCGAAAATATGAAGGAGAAATCGGTATATCTTCGTTCGACGTACAATTTTAATTTGAAGAAACGAATATTTCACGAAATTAAAATTAATTCAATTCTACATCCCGCTATATTTTATTGAATAACTCGGCACGAACCTTCTAATATGTGCTTTTTCTCCTCTTCTGTGGTCCTTTCTTCCGCGAGTATTACCTCCTCTATAAATAACAGCAAAACGTTTAATCGTTGTGCACGATTGGAAGAACGAAATGAAATGAAAAGAGGAAAAAAAAAAAAAAAAAAAAGAAAGAAAGGAAAGAAAAATCATCGACTTATCGTTGGACGAGGCGTAAAATTAAAAAAAAAAAAAAAAAAAAGAGAAAAGAAAAAGAAAAAAAATTGGACGAAAGCAACGAAAGTTTCTCCTAAGGAGGCATCAGCCTTGGTAAAGGACGATTGATAATTGATGTAGCTGGGCGTGTTGACTTTCTAACCTGCTTTGCAGATCCAATTCAGGTAACAGTACAGTTCATGCTCGAGCTGCTGCTGTCTTCGCAATTTGAGGAAGGACTGCCGGTTCTCCACCTTTTCTCTCTCCTTCGCAAACTCTCTACAAGCGTTACATAGATGATAGAGGGGCATTGCAGGGTCGTTTCGAGATAAATACTTGGTACATTTCTTTTTTAAGATACGTTTTTCTAGCAAATATTCGAGTAATACTGCAAGATTGGATTATATTGAAATAAATTCTTATTGTTCAAACGTGCTTGAATATTCGAATAAAATTTTTCTTTTTATTTTAATATTTGTTATTTCATTTGGTACTTAGATATTTATTTCCCTGTTTAGTCACAAATGAATTTAATTTTCATTTCATACAATTCTTTTTTTTATATATTATTTTATATTTATTTCAGTAGTAAAACAAGTTTAATTTTGTTATATCGTTCACGGAATTGGATACATTTTATTTGAAATAAAAATACCGAATAAAAGAAAAAATAAATTCTAAAATTTTATTTGACAAAATAAAAAGAAACGTGAAAAAACATAAGTTTTATTTCAAAGATTCTAAATAATTCTAAATAAATACACAGATTACATAAATATAATCTCTATATAACAAACATTAAAATAATTTCTCCAATATGCATTTTTAAATAATATCGTAATTTGAAATATATAAATCAAGAATATAATAAAGCAAAATAAATAAAATTCCATTTCAATGATAATCCCCAATCCCATCACACGTGTATCTAGCAAGGATTTTTTTACATTGTTATCCGAGATATTTATCCTCAAAAGCGTCACACTTTGTAACACACTTTCCCTCTTCGGGAGAAAAGTCATAGGTTACTACCACTGGCGGAGCGTTACTCTAGCTATACTACTGCCACTAGCGACTCGAATGGCGGGCTCGCGGAGCAAGTAGCGCGAGTAAACGACTAGCGCGCCGATAAACTTGAGGGAAGATCGATCGTTTTCGAGAAACCTGCTTGAGTGATCCACTTTAAGTAGGCACCGAACGCAGTCGTGAATAGACGCTTTCTCTTTGCTTTCTGATAAGCCGCCCGCCTCTCGACGCGTGTTCTTTCGTTCGAAAACTCCCTGACGAACAAAAAGAAAGGTAATCGGCCGTTTCTTTCCATTGGGGGGGATCAAGGAGGAGGGGAAGGAACCTGACCCGGCGCAGGGTCGTTCGCACTTCGATCGAAGGAATTCCCCTCCAAAGTGACGAATCAGTCAGATTATTTGCCCGACAAATGGGCAAATATACTACTTGCGGGTAATAAGGACAAGGGAAGAAAAGTGAATTTAAAAAATTTTTTCTTTTCGTTATTAAGATTCTTACATCTCGTTTTGTAATTATTGTTATTATTTTTTGATCTTTTCGAGATGGATAAGGAATGGATAAGTGTGATATCGAAATAATTCTTCTTATTGCTTTATATATCGTTTCGTTATTTCCTCAAGATTTTATTTTATATTGGAAAATATATGAGTTAAGTATAATATATACCCTCTATAATTATTATATTTCGTATGATGATCCATCTAATAGACATAACGATTTTGTAATAAGTGTATATCATATATAGATGATTGAAGGATCTTTAAGATAGATCTTAAATATATTAATTATATAATATATAATTTAATAATAATCCAAAACAACTCAAGATACTTAATAAATCTAATAGCAAGAATAATTAAACAAATAATCAATACTATTCAAATGATCCATTCCAAAATTAGAGAATTAACTAATTAATTTAACTATTCGAATCTCTCAGTGAATTTGGCGCAGATATGTCGCGCCCTCGTAAATGGTCCTTCGGTAAAAATGGCCATTCAGAAAAATAAAGTAGGTTAACACGGAGGGAACGAACGGTTGTTAGCCGGTTAGAGAATTCAAGAATGAAGATACTCACCCGCTCAGAACACCGAGAACTAAGTTCAGCATGAAGAATGAGCCAAGGACGATCAATGGTATAAAGTAAATCCAGTTGTACGTGCTGCCAAGAGCGTCGTTTGTCTGCAAATTTGACCAGAGCCACGTGAAGCCCATATGTTACGTGTGCGAGCGCGAGTCACCGATTCCACACAGCTGTTACGCGCATCGATCGCGATGATCGAAACCAAACATCATTGGCATGTTACGACACATAGAGACACTTAAAACGCTTCGATTTCTTTCTTTTTTTTTTTTTTTTTTTTCTCACTCTTATCCCCTTTTCCCTTTCTAACATCTTTACATCTATCTTTATTCTAGAGATTATCCAATTTCAATACACGATCTTTTTTTTAATTTTTCTTCCAAGAAACAGCACTGAGTTGTCTGTTAAAGGGGCCTGTACACGATCGTCGAGCCTCATTCAATAAATATATGTAATAAATATGTAAGTTAAAATTTTTCTATTAAAAAAAAAGGAGTTCTCAAATTTAATTGGATTTTTGATTTATCTGGTTGCTCTATTATGATTTGGAATTTAAGATATTTTGTTAAAAGTTTTTGGTATTAACTTAAGAATTAATTTAGAATTTTGAATAGATCGAAACTTGGATACTCAAGTATCCTTCTATGATTGATTGAAATTGAAATTTTTTTTTATCTTTTTTAGAAAAGATTTTCAAATCTAAACGGATTGCTATTATTTGGCATATTTTTTATCGATCATATTCCAAGATTATTTTGGACATTGACATATATTCAGATACTGATTTAATTAAATATATAAATTAACCACTACATTAATAAATTTGCAGGGAAATTTTATATTAATGAAATTAATTCGAAATATTGATAATTTTAAAATCGTATTTTCAATCCATTTTAATCTTTTCTAAAACTGCATACGATCAATGATATTGTCGATACTTATCCATACGTATATAAGATATTATTGATACAATATTGTCAATATTCATTTATATCGAGAATATTGTCAATACTCGTCCATATCGGCAACATTATCGATCCTGCACAGGCCCCTTTATAAAAACCAATTATCGTATTCTATTTCCAATTGTATATTGGGATAGAAAACAAAATAGCACAACACGCGATCCTCAATGATTCATATTCTCATCATATAGGACTATGAATCATTAATTATGTAACTAATCGACTTATCAATTTATTAAGTTCATAGATTACAACAACACTCACAATTACAACAATTAAAGAAAAAAAAAAGGAAAAAAAAAAAAGAAGACACAGTTAAAAAAACATCGCAGACACAAATAAACAAATAAAAATTTCATAGATGTCACAGTGCCATTTCTCAATACAGAACAGATATTTGTATTAAAAAAAAAAAAAAAAAAAAAAAAAAAAACAAAAAATTACCATTACTAAAAAAAAAAAAAAAAAAAAAAAAAAAGAAAACAAAAAATTTCCATTTCTATCAAAAAAAAAAAAAAAAAAAAAAAATATCGATCATCGTGCGCGAAAAAACCAAATCGAAGAAATTCAAGATCCTCCATTTTAAAGGAGGATCACGTGATTCGAAGTTCTTCGAGTTTCCGGTCACGCGGAGGACACGAAGCTTATGGTAAAGAAATGCGATTAACACCAAAAGATTTGCAAAGAGGGCTGAAACTGACAGTGTTATACTGAGCAAGGTGAACATGTAGGTCAGTGTTAGGCTGTTTAAACATCTGCAAGCACTTCTCCTCGATTACGATAAAACGTAATGGCGGAAGCGAAACGTCATCGGGCAGACACAGAGTGATAAAGTGAGAGAGAAAGAGACAGATAAACACACAGATAAGGGATGATAGACAAGGGGGAATGGGGATGGTTACGTGGAACGACGAAACATTTAGAGAGATTTGAAATAGATATTAAAAATTAGGGATAGATGGCAAGCAAATATGCGTGTACAGTAAGTCGCAAAAATATTTCGTTTTAGATTCAGATACTTGAAAATTCGAATTTTAATGAAACTTTGTACCGTAATTGTCTTTTTCAATGGAAACCTTTATAATATAATATTTTTAATATCAAGAATAATAAAGTAATTAAAAAATGTGAACATTTTATATTGATCGAATTGATTGTATATAATTTTTAAATCATTTAAACTTTAATAAATATTGTAAAATTATTATAAAGTTTACCAAAAACTGTTCTTTTTTTCTTTACTTTTCGTGACATTATTATTAATTAATAATATTCTCCACATTAATATTTTTATCATTTATCTTTAGACAATAGTTCAAAATTCGATTAAATATAATAAACCATTCACTGGCAACGTATATTCTAACAATATATATTGTTCTGTTCGTTAAAAAATAATATTTAAAAAAATACTTGCTTCATATAAAGTTTTATTAAAAATAAAATTTTCATTTTAATTTCACAACTCGTTAGTTGAATTCACGTAAAACACGAATATTTCGCAACTAACCGTACAGTTACAGAGGGGAAACGTATACTCATCGAATGGAATAGCGTACAACGCTCGGTCATTTGCCCTTGGTGAACCAGAGGGTTCGACTCGTGGCATCGATTCCACGCGAGGGATGCTTCTGAGAGGAATAAAGGGTCGAATCCAAATGGAATGGAAACACGGAAATTCCGAGACATCGAGCCGTATCAAGGCTTTTCAACGTGCGCGACACGAAGGAGAAACGTTTACACAATTTATAATGGGGGAAAGGGGGAGACAAAGAAAACAGAGAAAGACAGAGAGAGAGAGAGAGAGTTTTTAACACTGAAGGACATATCTCTTGCTTTACCCAGTACAATATGGCAGTCCAGCCCTCCATAGTGATGCACTGGAAGACAGTGAGCATGGCGAATCCGATGTTGTCGAAGCTGGTGATGCCGAAGTTTGGTCCCTCCCAGTGATCCATGCACGTCGAGATGTTCGCGTCGCACACGTGGGCCCCGAATGGCGCCTCGGATTTGTTGTCCGTGTTACACGGGCTCGCCTGTTCGCCCTCCTTCACGATTACATCTACAACAGAGTGAACGTCAGACCGATCTCTCTCGTCTGGTTTGAGAACCATGAGAATATCTTCTTTCTTTCTTTCCTTCCTTCCTTCCTTCATTTTCCTTCATTTTTCTTTTCTTTTCTTTTTTTTTTCTCTCTTTATATTATTCGAAAGAAAAGGGACGATACGAGATTATTACTCACTGATATCCCTGATGCTGTAACACGTTTTATGCAGGGTCCCCGAATAGAATTCGAGGCCGATGATGGCGAATATCACGATGGCGAAAAGTACCAGCAGGCCGATCTGCAGAAGCGGCGCCATTGCCTTGATAATAGACTTGAGCACCACCTGGAGACCTGTTTAGAAAACATTCGATAGGAGTAATTAGGCCCAACCACCGCGCCCTCTAAGCGATTCACGTGTCTTTTTTTTTTTTTTTTTTTTTTATATCTTTAACTCGACTCATTTTTCTTTCTTTTTTCTTTTCTCCTCGCGTTCCTTTTTCTTTTCTTTTCCTCGCTGCTCGGGGAAGCGTGCGTGCCATTGCTCTGTCTTACAACCTTCCCGCGTAATTTTATTATGTACTCGGTATTATACCCTTTTTCTTTCTTTCTTTTTTTTTTTTTTTTTTTTAATTTGAAAAAATAATTCGTTCGAATATAGGATTTCGATGTTAAAACGGATAAACAATTGAGATACTTCGTTGTTGTTATACATGGACACAGCATACAACTCTCAAAAGATATAATCTATTTGGGTGGTGCTACGTAATAAACAAAAATAATCGTTCTAACGTTGCAAGGCAACTACGTGTAGATATATAGATATAGAAATATATATACTTGCAATAATAATTAAATACTACACTGATCTACGAGCTTTACGTCTGATAACGTTTAGTCCGGTTGGTTCGCTCGTATAATCGGATCTACGTAGCAGCTATCGATAAAAATGGAAACGTTTCAACGAACGGATCCAAATCCGATTCCCCGAAGTATCCGAATTGCAAACTCGGAAGAGATGAACGCGCGTTCCTCGAGCATCGAGCCTCGCGTTTTCAGTTCTTATTCTAATAAAAAAAAAAAAAGAAAAAAAGAAAAAACCTTCTTCTTAGACAATATTATATTTCTTTCTCATTCAATCTCAAGAAATTCCAATTTTCGATACTCGATCGTATACATCGTTCAAATTTCGCGCTCGATCTTGATCGATCGAGAATCGCCAGAATTTTATCACCGATCTCAAAAAAAAAAGAAAAAACAATAAAAAAATTAAATCTCAATAATAATCAATAATCTTCAAAAAAAGATTTATTTTCGATCGATCGACTTATCGAGAAATCGATCAAGGAAAAAAAAAAAAAAAACGAAGAAAGAAAACACGAGGCCGTTTCGTTCGATTCGGCTTGATTTTCATGGCCGATTGTATTGAAACGCTACTCACTCGGTATGCCGGAGACAAGTTTGAGCGGTCGCAACACGCGTATCGCACGCAACGTGCGCAGATCCATATCCAGTTCTATGCCTTGCGAGAACGCCGTGATGAACCTGCCCCAAAACACACACACCCCGCCACACTTTACTACTTACTACTCTATTACACTAATACTCACGCTACTTAAGCTACACAACTATGTGGTTAACTAGCGTTCTATGACCTAACCTGATTGGGAGATGGGATTAAGTAATGTCTAATCGGAGGTGAAGCGTCGTCGGAGGGGGAGTGGGGGAGATTGATATGTGTTTTGTTTCGCTTTATTTTTTTACCTTCTTTTTTTTTTTTTNTTTTTTTTTTTCTTTATATCGATTTACACGATTACACGAAATCAATTTTATTTCAACATACGCGTATTCTATAACCAAACGTTTAAATTCAGCTAGTTTCTAAACTAGGTCGGGGGATGAAGTTCTATGAGAGGTGACTTTAAGCATCGGTGACTATGCTCTAGAATCAGCGTCTCTCAACCTTTTTGCTTATATTTGTTCGTGATAGTATCACGATCCAAGTGAAATTTAAAAAATTTGGTATTCCATTTTATATTAATCATTCAAATTAATGTATATTATATTAATAAATGAAATTATATTTTTTAATATAATATAATATAATAACTTGATTTTTTTTTATCTTTTAAATTTAATCAAAATTATGGAATGAAATATATTGGAAATAATTATTGAAATAGCTTTGTTCAAATTAAATGATACATCAATGAATCAGTAGAAGATATTTATATGAAATATAATAAATGAATTTATTAATTGAAATAATTTAAAACAGAAATATTAATTTAAAAATAATTATTTAAAACAAATATATTTTAAATCAATTTTTATGTAAATAATATATATCCAGAATTGGAGTCATGGAGAGCAATAGACAAAAATAATTTTCGAAAATTTAACACAAAGATAAAACGAAATCTAATCAAAACAATTATAAACAATAATGAAATATCTTAAATATTATTTGTCACGATTCGTTAAAGAAATCGAATGCGTAGGTTGAGAAACACTGCTCCAAATTACATCCGGATAAACGGATACCAGCCGAATAATAAAATCTCCAACTCATCTCGAGTTCCCTTCGTTTCGAGAAGTCGAGATCGAGGGAGGGTCAAAGTTACTTTTCTTTCCCCCTCGATCGAGGGAACAAAGGAATCCAGAAGCTTCGGCTCTTGATTTCTCGCAGTGTCGGATCAGGTTATCGAATTAGCGCATCGATGGATTACCCTTTAAAACTGTCATCGCGAAAATCGGTTTCCAAAGGAAATCCGGCTTAATATCGAAACCATGGAAACGGATGGGGAGATGCACGGAGGATGGGATAACTACTACGGTAGTAAGAGATTAAATATTTAACTATTTCTATTGTCAAATGGATCTCGACACTGGATTCACGGGAAATTCTTATTAACTTACTCACGCGAGATTCTAATTCTAGATACCGTTTAATATAATCCATCTAACTATATAATTCTAACTTCACGGAGATAATAAACGTGACATCCGTCGCGGTCGTTCAACCCCCTTTTCGGTCGAAAATTTGGAATGAAATATTACAAATATTTAAAAAATTATCTATCGATGGATGAATTTTGCTTTAGAAATTTTTTTTCCCAAAAATTTATTATTAGAATAAAATTCCAAATTTTGACCGATAATGGAGCTTACCCCTTTCTTCCTCGATCGTAAATACGGATCGTATCGATTAAAGATCCGATCGTTTTTTCTTTTTTTTATCCAATCGACTTACCAGTTTGTGATAACGCTAATCAAGGAATGAAAATTGGATTAAATGTGAATGGATCGTTTAAATCTAGCTACTCGTATTTTTAACCCTTTCGAGATTAACAAGGCGAGATATATCTTACAAGGATTATATTCAAATATTAACAGATATGAAGTTGGTTGGAGAAATAATTTTGAAAATTAGATTCATCTTTTCCTTGATTTATTATAATACCATTTTGCTATTTATATACGGAAGATCGTCTCGAAAGGGGTAAAGAGAAAAGAAAACGGAAATAAAATGGAATAACAAAAGGAACGACCACGATGGATAATATCCTAATATGTCTACGATTATCGAAGCCCTAAAAATTACATCGCTATTGGATATATCTATAAATTAATAACCAAGATAAGAAAAAAATCTCCCAGGCTGGAGACCATTACAAACTCTTCGTCACTCAAAATCTTCGTCAGCGTGGAAGAAAAATTGATTTCATTCTCGAATCATTTACGAATTTGCATATCCTTGTGTATCAATCTTTTTCTTTTTTTTTTTTTTTTTTTTTTTTTAACAAGAGGAGCCCGAAACGTTTCTCTCTTTTTTTTTATGCATATTTTAAAATATAATCGTCGGGATGAAAGAGGAATTCGAGGACAGGATATCTCGAAGTCTAAAAAAAAAGTCTCAGTTAGGTCTATGACTCAAGTTTCTCGAGGGAGTCTAAAAGGTACCACTCTCTAGCAAACACGAGCTTTCTCGAATACTGTTACTGTTCTAGGACACGTACCTATTTTACCAACGTATATAGTCAATTCTATCAATCAGTGACTGCGTCTAAAGATAGAGTTTGCTAAATATAGAGACACCTGCAGGCCAAAGTTAGTTTTGTGGTTCTCTGTGTGTGTGCATATATATGTGTGTGCATAAATTTCTATATGTAACGTGTGTATATGCGTCGTGCGTGTAACGCGATCTCGCGCCAATTTTTGAATATTCCGAGCGAAAGAGAAATCGAGAAATATCGTTTCGAAGACTCGATGTATATCCACTCGTTCAATTCGAAACGAGTATATAACGAATATACGAAGGAAAAAAATCACGACGCTCGATTAAATCGATTAATTCGTTCCATCGCGAAATTTTTTTCTTTTTTTTTTTTTTTTTTTTTTCTCTTCAAAAATATCACGCTCCTTTTATTTCCGTCCCGTTTCAACGCGTTTTATCGCGAGCGAAATATTTTCTCGAAATTTTCAATACACCCGACGTGGCGGACTACGTGAGTAGCGTATGGAAAAAAATTTGAACGGCGAATTAAAGGTACTCTGCGATAGACGGTTCTCAACTCTTTCTTGGAAATTTTTTATTATCTCAATTCAAAAATTCCATTATTTTGTTTAGATATAAATTCAAAATTTTATCCTCTTTCAATTTTCAAAAATATTAGCAAGATATCATTGTAAGAATTTAAAATTCCAATCCTTTTCTTCCTAATTTCAAGAATTCGATCAAAAAATTAATATTTCTGAAAAACATTGGAAAGAAACAAATTTATTTAAACTCCCCTATATAATTCAAAGTGAAACCAATCTTGTAAATTGAAAAAAAAAAAATCTTTGACATGATAATAAAATTTTGATTGGAATATTATATCAATTTTACCAACGAATGCAGCACAAGTTGAGAACCGCTGCGACAGAGAGTAGTAGCATCGCAGTAGCGAGAAATTCAGGACGCGTTCGACAACTTTTTCATCCCCTAATGAAAAGCCAAAGATTTCGTCGAGGATTCGACCGACGTGCCTGTACCGTGTTCCGTGTACAAACATATGTGTGTATAAATATATATATATATATATATGCACGTGTACATGTGTGTGTGCGTGTGTCTAATTCGTCGACTTTGAAAAACTTTCTAAAAAGTACGAAATAACGTGTGCACAAAACTGAACATAACACGACAGAAGATAGAGCATGTAGTAACGCAATATAACACTAGCTGCTAGGTCACGCAATTTCTCTATACAGAGACAATAGAGTAATGATAATGATAATAATAATAATAATAATAATAATAATAATGATAATAATAATAATAATAATAATACGTATAATATATAATATAACGTATATAAAACACTTGAATTACGCAAACCACGTGGACACAGAATATATGTATATATATAGATATTATGTTCAATTAATATCGATCATCAAACTGCCATCAACGATCATCTAGCGTCAATCAACTGTTTCTAATACACCCATAGCCTCTAAGTGGTGGTCAATCAAAATGGATAAAAAAATAAACGAAACTCTTGTATTACGTAACGAACGATTGAAAAAACGTGAGAAAAAAAAAAAAGAAAGAAAAAAAAACGTGTTTAATCGGGAATAACTAAACAAGGAAAACTAAAGAAAAAAAAAAAAAAAAGGAGAAGAGAACTATCTGGTGGTTAAGAAAGACGAACGTATATAAAACAAGTGTTTAAGTATTATACGCAGTTATTGTAACTTAGCTGATGCTGATCTCGCTTGCCAGAAACTAAACGTCGACCCAACGTGTCAACTAAAGCAAAAGAGACAGAAAGAGAAAGAGAGAAAGAGAGAGAGAGAGAGAGAAAGAAAGAAAGAGATAGATAGAGAGACATGGACAGATAGAGATAGTGATAGAGATAGAGAAAGAGAAAGAGAGAAAGAGAAAGAGAGAAAGAGAAAGAGAATAATTGACAGAAAAACTAAATGGTCGACGAGGAAACTAAGTGTGTCTGGTATAATTAAACGTTTAGAAAAAAGAAGAGGAAGAAAAAAAGAAAAAAAACTAAGGAGACTAGTCGAACGCACACAAACTGCCAGGAACAACGGGGTTTTAGTTAGTTAGTTAGTTTATAAATAATTAAAAAATCTGCTTGCTCGACTGTTCTCTGTTACTGAACTCTGTTACTGTTACTTAAATGGCGTTTTAGTATATAATCGTTTGCCGTTTCGCAGAACTGTGACTGACTCACTTGGAATTTTCGAAACCAGCTTTAGCGGTCTGAGGACCCTGAAGGAACGTAGCATACGCAGGTCGACGTCCACGTTTGTTTCGGCGAACACGGTCATCGACCTAATCCAAGGATTACTCTAGAATCTATCTGCTCGGCCGAGAAAAACCGATCGATCTCCTTATATCTTAAAAAATTCTGCACGGAGAAAGATCCTTTCCCCCCTTTCCTCGTCTGCGTAATAAAATATCTACGTGATAATAAAAATCGAGAATTTCTCCCTCGATTATCGATTCGAAAAAAAAAAAAATTTTTTTGAGAGAAAAAAGAATTTTTATTCTCAAAATTCTTCTCGAGAGAATATATATATATGGAAAGGCTTTCTCCGTGAACAGGGAGGGGAGGGCTCCTCGAGGCGAGCTTAAATCAGGAAATAGGGATAACAAGGAATAATAATAATTCGTCGTTCAACCGAGATTGTTTCAATCGTGTGATGGAATCGCGTTACGTTAAAAAATGTTTCGATCAAAAAAAGCCTGACCAAATAACATTCTCCTCGTCCACTGTTTTCCTCTCCACTTTGCTCGTTTCACTTCTCTCGAACACACGCTCCTGTGTCTCGAGCATGAACAGAGAGAAAGAGAGAAAGAGAGAGAGAGTGAGAGAGAAAGAGAGTGCGCGATGCATTTTTATCGAGTGAAAGATAGATGAAGAGAGAAAAATAATAGAGAGAGAGAGAGAGAGAGAGAGAGAAAAAGTGGAAAGAGCAAGAATGCGCTTCGTTCGTTTTCACCGAGGGAGGAGGAGAGGGGAGGAGAAGAACACGAGAGAGGAAGGGAACGGAGAATGAAATGATGAGTGAGCTCGCGGTGAAACAAAGTAACGTGAAAAATAGAAGGAAACGAAAGTATATATATATATATATATATATATATATATATATATATATGTGCTTCGTATGTATGTATACTTGAGTGATGAGCTTTCGCGAATTTTATACGAGAACGATCCCTCCTTCTCCTCCTCCTCCTCTTCTCCCATTCGTGCATACCACGAATCTGATGTCTCTCTTGAAATCGATCGAGTTCGTTCGTTCTTTCGAGGAACGAGGGGCTCGAAGAGAAAGAAGGGATCTTTCTCGTCCCGTGGAAAATAATTGTCGAAAATAAAGAGAGAGAGAGAGAGAGAGAGAGAAAGTGAGAGAGAAAGAGGAAGAGAGAGAAAGAGAGAAAGATAGATATATATATATATAGAGAGAGAGAAAGAGAGAGAGAGAGAGAGAGAGAGAGAAAGGGAGATCTCGTACGTATGTATAGTATAATGTATAGAAGAATGTATATAGAAAATGAGGTTCGCTCACCCGGTCACCACGACGAAGAAATCCATGATGTTCCAGATGTTGCGCAAATAGGAGCCACGGTGGAGGACGAAGCCAAGGGCGAGGATCTTGAGGCTCGCCTCGACGCAGAAGATCCCGAGGAAATAGATTTCGGTGGCCTCGAGCTTCTGTGCGAGTATGGTTTTGTCCTGCTTGGGCAGGTGCTCCTCGAGGGCGAGGACCACGCAATTGGCGATGATGGTGAGCAGGACGGCGTACTCGAAGGGCGGCCACTCGATTATGAAGCGGGTATGCTTCCTTATGCAGTTATCCTCCGAAAGGATGAACAACGACGTGGTGCCCTTGCCGCCTCCCCCACCCCCACCCGCCCCTCCGCCCTGATCCCGGCCTGGCGCCATGTCCACCAGACCAGGTACCTGTTTTTTACCCAATTTACTGAATTTATCTAGTTTGAAAATAAAAATTGAATAAAACAAGAGTTCAAGATCGAAATTATATATATTAAACAAGAATGATTTGCATAGCATAATCTGTAGCTAACAATTAAGTGGAGCGCTAAACTGGATTGTTAAAGTATTTTTTACTTTCGTAAAAGAATTTTGAATTTTTTTTTTTTGATAAAATTGTATCAAAATTGTTGATGTGTTTCCTTGTTACTTAGTTTATATTTTTCAGAAATTGTATGTATGTAGATATTCTAATAATAAAACTGATTTTTCAATCGAACAAGATTTTCTTGGGGAGGAAGGTAATTTTATATTTTCGATGCCAAAGGAAAGAAACAAAGATTGCAGTTTCATTTTAATAAGTAAATGAAAATCTATAATTATAATATGATGTAGTAAAAACAATCAAATAAGATATGTTATAGATGTTGTAAACTATTTTGATATTATTTATGATCAAATGAAAACCTGAAACTTAGAAACTTAATAGAAAGTATAATATATCGAGCCACTTTCTAGAGCTTAATTTATTAGCTTGTGGCCCCTATATAACGTGCAAGAATCAAAAATAAAAAAATTGCATTGTTAAAGTTCATCTTCGAAAAATGTTAAAATAAAGATAAGAAATTATTTCAAATCTTCAAACTTAATCCCTTTTAAGACCTACTTTCACATTTCCTTTATTTCCAATTTCCATTTCTTATTTTGCCACGCCATCCCTCGGATTTCTACATATTTCATCTTCAACAAACATCTCATTCGACGAAATTCTACTTTTTAAGCTCGAATCGAATCCTTACCTCCCCTCCAAAGCTAGTCCAGTCACCGAAACTCAGTCCGGCCAACCTCGGCCTTCTCCTGTACTGACTCGCGTATCCAGGGTCCCTTTGTGCCGCCTCTTGCGCTGCCAACCTGTAAAAACACGCAAGATGAAAGGAGTTAGCCGAGACTCAAAGAGGATTATCGGGCACGTTTACACGATCGTGTATTTCTCCATTTACCAGAGGACCAGAGATCGATTTTGTAAACTTCTCACTGTGTGTCACCGTGCAAACAAATCGGAAAACGAACAGTGCGTACAGTACCTCGTGAACGAAAAAAGAATACGGAAAATCGCGTTTGATCTCTCGATACGTTCCGCGAGTTGAAGGTTTCTTTTGCGAAAGAAAGATCGCATTCCAGTCGTGACAAAATTCAGAGATTCAAAATTCACGCGATCGACTATTCGTTGTCGAACGAATACGCGAAAAATTGATATTATATGGAAAAGAGGACAATTGGATGGAGAGGTGTTTCTAAACGTTTCCGAGAGAGGTCGTTAATAGAAAAGCGCGTAATAATAAAAATGGCGGATTAATTGACTATATTACATAGACTTTTGAGGCTAGGATTTATACGTGATTTCTTTTATGAAAATTAAAATGGAGGTGTCAGGCATTCGTGCATTTTGTTAGCAGGTTTTTTTAGTGATTCATCTTGAAGAATTTCAATTGCGTTTAGGGATAAGATACCCTGTACAAAAAAAATTTATATTTAAGATACGATTTTTCACTGTGAATTCTATTAATTTAATTTTTTTGTGAAATTATTATCGTAGAATGATATATATATATATATATGTTGGTTAATTAAAGATTGTGCATTAAGTTGCGAAGAGGATTATACATACATGATACATTAAAAAAAAATCACGAAACGTAAAATATTAGACGTACATTATTATTAATTTTATGTATTTTTTAAATAAAGTTATTGTTTTTGTTTCTAGATAATTTTTGAATTCTCTGACGAAAAAAGGATCCGACAGTGTTGATGGAATCATTGATTCATTCTTTTTAATTAAAAGAACCAATAATAGTAAGATAGAATCTGTTTTGTAACCAATATATATTTTAGCACACAATTCAACATGAAGACTTTTGAGTATGAATCAATATAAGTGGTTTTAAAATCAAAATTCTTACGTTTCACAAATGTTATAATTTATTTCAAGAATAAAAATTAATCAGATATTTCTAAATAATAAAAAAATTAAAATATCTATTGTATCTCTATTGATATTCATCCTTAGGAAATTATACACTAGCTATTTCACGTTCTATGAATATTAATTATCCCCTATATTACTCTTTTCCTCTAATTCACATTATAGTTGTAAAAATGAAAAAAAAAAAGAGATATTCGCTGCTGAATTTGCAACAAACGCGCGAAAGAATATATTCCTGATCGATCGTTGCCACACTCGGGATGTTCCTAGGAACCCTCTAAAGTGCCCCTCAAGTTTTTCCGGAACTCGAGAATGCCGGATGCCCTTCACACTGTAACGAGAGTAATCGAATAATGCGCAATTTCTAATGGCGAACAACCCCTCTCTCTCCTGCTTAAATGGCGTCCTCGTTCCTCCATCGGAAATGCCAATTTAATATTCGGCTTTAACACTAAGAATTTATCCAACCACGTGATGCGCATCTTCATCAACAATTAACTCGATTCTCAATTAGTTTGCATAATTCTCAGTAATGAAAAATGAAAAATTAGAAAGAGTTTATAGTTTATTAATAATAATGAATGTGCTCATCGAATTGATATAATTTATTTATTCATTCGTTGATGCAATTATTAAGACTTTCTTGGATTTTGTTGGGGATGATGACTGATATCAGGTTTATTTTTGTGTAATTTTATAATGATTCGTGTTCAGAGATGGAAAGTTGATATATTATATATATATAAAATTAATTTAATTAACAGAATTAAATTTCTTATTAATTTAATTCACATAAAGTAATAAAATAAGGATCTGTGGTGGTAAAAATAAGGATCTACATTCGTTTGATTCTTGGCCAACCATTTCCTTAATTTTTGCAATTATAGTCAAAAGTTTTTCAACAGAGTCCATGTGAATTTCTAGAGATATTATAACACCAAATTAAGAAGGAATTGATTTATAATAAACTGATTTATAAAAAAATAAAAGTCTTTATATTTTATAAATTTTTTGAGGATTGAGATCATGATTTTTCCTTTATATATTTCTGATTCTAGCCTTATGTTTTTCAACTGTATGAATTATTAACTCAAAAATATGCAATTTCTTGTGAAAGAAGTTACTTTTGATTCTCACACGATGTGAGTATCATCTTTAATTTCTAAAAAATGATTCACATTGACAGACAATTGACTGAATAAGAATAATTCACAGATAATGGAAGATGAAGCATGAATTCAAAGATTTCAATTTTCTGTATCAAGTTAAACGTGAACATTAATCTGCATATATGATCTTTAATGACATCATAGAAGATATAAACAGATGTGAAGAATTTTAAATTTAAATTTCTAAATCTTTTTCAATGATTCGAATGATTCAAGATAATTCTATAGAGAATATATTTCTTCTATTGATGAAGATCCTAAAATTAAGATTTTCAAACTACTTAATCAATTCTCTAAAATTCTTAATGTTACTCAATTCCTGATTAAATATTTTTTCTAGTAATGGTAATGAAATTCTAAGGATAACAAATAACGATGATTTCATTTGCATTTTAATGGAGGAAAAAAGAAAGTTTTTTTAATTCTATCTTAACAAATTATTTGAATTTATATTACGGTTGAATATTAATATAAAAATATTAAGATAAAAGTAATATTTGACGTACAATAATTTTAAATTTAAATCACAAAAGTGAATAAGAAAAATAATTTGAATACAAAAACTCATAGAACTCATTGCATCAATTAATATGAATAAATTTTAAATCTCCATTCAAAACATGAGTCACAACAAAGAAAACTGATCAATTCCATGGCGAATTATTTTAAAAAATATAAATAATTGCTAATTACAACGAAATGCCAAAATTCAAAAAAAGTAAAATTGATTTACCTGATTATCGAATAACTTGAAACAATCTCTACAATTCAATTATATTTCCTATGTTCTTTATTGAATTGTTTCGATGTAGGGGCTAGATATATAGCTCGAATTATTTTATTTTATAGCAAATTTAGATTTATTTGAAATGTTCGACGCGCAATCTTTTCGTTAATTAATTAATACCGATTTAATTTCACTGCGTATGAGATACAGATTTCATTGCTTTCAATGGCAGGGGGATAATTTTCCATCCACGCCAAGTTGGCGCGTGCGAAACGGCATTATTATCAGTCAACCGTGGAATCGTAATAACAGTAACAATGTTATCTATCAAATATAATCCCTGTTACATACTCAGACGTCAACGACGATTAAACGTTGTAAAATTTAGATTTAAATTCAAACAACGATTATAAATCTACATTTCCTTTAACTGTTATCAGAATATTATAGAATATTACAGTTTTTTCCAGATATCCCAACGTTTCATAATTTTGCTCTTATACTCTGCAATCTTCAATTGATTAATTAATTTTTATTTTTTTTATTGAACTTTATTCTTTCATTCATCCTCCACCAAAGAGTTGGTATAATTTAATTTCATTGTCCGTATCAGTTAATTAAGTTAATAATTCCAAAAACTTTTATTATATTTTTTATTATCCATTATAGAATTAGTGTGTTCATCGTATCAATTAAAAGTTAGTCAAGATATAATTAAAAATTTCCAATTAATATATTTCGATTTCGCCATATCAATTAGTTAAAGAAAACAATAGTTATGTCATTCGAAATAATTTCTTCTACGAACAAATCGTGCATCCCTCCTCCCCTCTGTATAGAATCATTAACAATCGCAAAAGCACGATCGAATCCCTATCAGATTGCCCATCCATTCGCCTCTCTGGCCCGTCTCTGAACGTCTTTGAATTATTAAAATCGAAGCACGAATAATTGATAGAGCGCACCTCGTAACGGAAAGATCGATAGTACTCTCGAAAATGAGCCATACCGCTATCTCGACTCGACAGAGGGACGATACACAACGCATCATCACACTGGCATCGCTTACTCTTCGAGAATGCCCCGATGATTGTTTCCAGCAACAGGTGTAACCCCTATTGCTGATTACACATCGATGGAAATTTCGAAATTTAATTGGTTGGGCGTGATATAACATATTGAGCGTGCTTAATAGCGTGTGTTTTCTTGCTGTTAGTCTTGCGGGGTGAAAGATCAGCAGATATCAGACCTTGTTGGAATCCGAGCTAATTGATTTTGCTCCACGAGAACGGGATGCAAAAGCTGTTGAGTTCGCTTGCCATGGATAAAACGGCCCCTGATTGGCGTTTGATCGGCATATGCTTGTGAGATGGTTCAATTTATAAGATTGGATAGAGCCATTGTCTTGATAAAGGGGACCTCGGACCAGCATTCGACAATATTATTGGTCACGTGACGCTCAAAGTGGTGCTCCCTAGTGTCGACGCGCCGAATTAAATTCCGAATTCCACCATCGTGGAAAAATCGATTTTGATCGAGTATGCGCTGAAATGCTCGTGATAAATGAATCTCTCATCGGTATATTTCTATTTATATTTATCGTCCTTGCGATGATTCGATCCAAGATCGGATAAAGTCATTAATAAAAGACTGGCATTTGATCGAGGCAAGCTCGATCTAAAATCAAAGAAATCTTTATTAATCAGTATAATAGCCACGTGATGGATCGATCTAAGATCGTAATCTAAATGAATAATCTTTGAAAAAAAGAAGAATTAATTCCATCATATCACTATCTTGATTCAATTCAAAAACTCTTTAGAGACTTCTTAATAGTGTTATCAAGTCGATCGATGAGACGCGTCTCGTAAGAAATTATCACATTTCGAAGATCTATATTCGTCAAATTCGATCATTTATTATTTCACATACGAAATATGAACATATTTACAATCGATAATCTAAATTTATATATCCTTTGTCAAGATGTAGTTTCTTAAATGTTTTCTCTTTAAATGAAATTGCAAAA